ATAAATCTTTTACCGACATCTATTGATTTTTAACTCGCTGTTTTTTTACATTTTACTTTAATCTACTTTCCTTGCTTTTACCGGTTGTTTGGCTCAGATAGCCTAGCCGCTTTGCGCCATAAAACACCAACCAACCAACCCACTTTATTTCTGCACCTTAACAGGTAAATGTTTATACAGCAACCCTCCACCAATAGGAGTGCGACACTACCCTTATCGTAAATAATGCACTCTCTCTAATCATGCACAAGTTCGAGATTGGACATAACTAACCAAACCAATTCACACTGGAAGAGGGGAGGACGGGTGAGAAATGTGAGAGGATGCAAGTATCTATCGGAAATACCTTTTCAGTTTAGAAAAATGTTAACTTTTGATAAAATATTTTACCTCCCCTCACTAAAAGCTAGAATCCCACATTGAACAGGTGTGGGGGGCCAGTGAGAAGATGATACCCCTTTAGGATGTGCCCAAAGAAAGACCATGAGATGTGATAAGGAATTAAAAACAACACACAAGTGGGAGACTGCACCACTTCTGAGCCAGGTATACTATTTGCCCTTTAATAATGTGTTGCCAAAAAGGGCAGAAACTTGGAGGGACCCCAAGAAAAAAATTACAGAAATAACTGGGCCTCTTGGCATAGAGTGGCTAGGGTGTGACAGACTGAAAATGGGAGTTCATTCTCAACCAACATCTGGCAGCATTTTGAATTGTACATCAGGTCTGCAGTAGGAAAAGGGTTCTTTACCTTTTATCTCAAAAACAGTTACCAGCAGGGAAGAGGAGCTTCTGTACCAATAACCCCCCTCAACATGCATGCACCTACAAAATAACCAACACCAGATCCCCTGGGAACTGACATTTGGCAGACTGTAGGAAAGTGGAGAGCCCACGTGGGTGTTCCTCTCCATTCCAAGCCCTGGCGACATTTGGAATTTTTCATCCAGTCCGCAGTAGGAGAAGGGTACTATCCAAATGCACATGAGGACTTATGTGCTGGTTCAGCTCCAACCAACACCCAATCCCTGGGAACTTGCATCTGGCAGATAGTAGGAAGGAGAGTGCCTCAGCCAGAGGGGCAAACTGCAATATATGGCAGAGTGCTACATCCAACACCAAGCGGCATCTCGGTAGGAATGGGCATCACACCATCTACACCAGCAGAATGCCACTGCCCTCCATGGTCCATCACCACAGCAGCTACAAACTGGTATGTGCCAAGGGCTCCCATACTCCACTAGAAGAAGGAGAAAAATGTGCTGGAAAGTCCATAGGATCACAGCACCAGAGACAGTGCAATGGGTGACCCTGATACCCTAATTTCAAAAGGAGAGCTATCACGTTGACGGAATCGATCCACCAACACCTGGTGGCATCTGGAATTGTATATCAAGTCTGCAGTAGGAAGAGTCTCAATATCACAGTCATCTAGCATGGTATGTGATCACAGTGATTGTACAGTGCAAATTTAAGACTAAGTATACCTGGTCAGGCAACACTTCCTACAGATCAGGATCCAAATATGCGATAAAGGTCTCTGCAAATAAAAAGAACATAGTACTTATCACCCACAGATAAAAAGTTACAGCACTGATGATGTCCCCCAAAAGAAGATGGAAATGTGCAGCCAGGCACATGGTAAGGTGACGGATCTGATGGGAAGAAAAACATGAAAAAAGTGACAATCATCAGGAGAAAGGGAAGAAAAATTCCAGACAAATTCAACCCAGAAAGGTAATGGGAAAAATGTCAAGGAAGAGGTGAGGATTTCATGGAAGAAACAAATGGACTTAGTTACCATGGAAAAGAGCAGTACAATGTATCATGTACCATCAAGGAGCCCTGACCGAGCAAAAGAGATGGATGGGACTGGAATGGCCATAAAGGTGGGAAAAAGTGTGAAGGAAAAAAAGCACCCCCATGAGGTGTTGAAATCTTTGCCATAAAGGAAAGATCAGGAACACGGACTTCAAAGAAAGGTGATTTATAGAACACAAATACAAAAAGTTCAATGGAGGACTGGGAAAAACACAAAGGACCACATAGAGGTGTTAACACTTTGACTACGATGTAAGTAGGTATGCAACTATTGTGAAAGTTCTTTACGAAAATGAAACAAGTGGATGAAATTCTTTTAAATTTGAGATGAAAGGTCGTATAAGTATGTAGTTTTTGAAAAATAAGATATTTAATTTTGATTTTTTCTAAAGCAATGTTTTTCTCGTGCTTTTTTTTTTGCACATTGCCTATCCAACATGCAAAGTAATTTTCATTTTAAGATTAAAAATACTTTTATGCATCAGAAAATTTTCAAATTTCACATGCGAAATCCTTATAATGTCTAGATAGTTATCAAATGTTTCTTGAGAAAAAACTTTATATTTTCTCTGTTATTTTCACTAACTAATATCTGTGTGGGTTTGGTCGATTTGACTGATCTCGTTTTAGTGGACTAGTATTTTGTAAAGTATAGTCACATTTCAATTATTATACATTATATATGTATATAGATTATTACTATTTACAAATAACTTTAACTTATTTTAATTGAAACATAGAACAGCAAATAAAAAAGTAAAGTGAACAATTATCTCTTCTAGTTCCAATCCTTGTACTCATTTGCTGCTTGCCATAGGTTGCTAAGCCTTATCAAATTTTGCACGTGCTTTCAATTGGTTATTCATCTGTCATATATAGAACTATGTATGTATAAGGGATCATTTCAAAAATTGGAAAGAAGTGAGCAGGGCCACTGGATTTCATTCAGTAGATGAGTGATATCTCAGCAAATAGAAAAGATTGGAAGTTCTTATTGTATATTCTAGCTTGTCAATATTGAAAATTTGAGTTCCTAGTTCGTACAAAACTACTGAATTGGTATTTTGACATCACAAATATCTAGTTTGAATCAGTGCTGCATCCAACATACTATGTGACACATAAAAATTGATGTTTAGGTGTGTTTTTTAATATTTATTTTTAAATTAAGAAACTAAATGATGTATAACGCTAAAATTTGAATTATGATACAGTTTAATACCAAACTTAACGACATAGATTTATAAAATTGTAGTTCAATAAAATTTTGAATACAAGTCAACAAATGCAACGACATGGCCTTTGACCCATATAGAAAGGGTTAATCTGGAAGAGGGGAACACAGGAAAAATGGAAGGAATGAAACAACATGGATAAGACAGGCAATTGGAAAACACAAGCAAAATCAAGAAACCAAAAAGTGACAGATAACGTCACTTCATAGCCCACAACAGAGAAAACGAAAAGGCCCCACTCAAAACGCCAAGTCAAAAAGGTCAGTATGTGAAGAACCATAGAATGGGAAGGGCTATAACCCATTAGGGCTGTTCAAAAGCAATACATGTACCATGTACTTAGTTAAACTACGATGGAGGAAGAAAGAATGGACAGAAAATGAAGGAAGCTACACACAAAAATCCAACCTTTCATGTGAGGAACCGGACAAAGCCTCGCATGACTATGGAGTGCATTGTACAGATGGGTGACATATGCTGGAGTGTGGCTGATGGAGGAGCATAAGAGTTAAAGGAAGAGAAAGAGAGGCGACATAGAAATTCAATGCAGCAGTGGAAATCCTGTGTGAGCCGACCAATACGTAACCAGCAGCAGAACACTACACAGAGTGGTCTTAAGTATGGTAAGGACACATGGGAGGAGACAAATAGAAGGATATGCATATAGGTACCAACTCAATCAAACCCGACTGAGAGCATCGACTTCTTACACCAGAGGATGAGGAATAGGAGATAAAAATCAGGGAAGTGGTGTATTGAGAAGAGTGGCAAAAGCTTCCAAATCTGGGACACTCCACAAAGCACAGGGAGAATCTTGTTGGGACTGGATAACCGATCCATGATCCAATTCAGGGCACTTGGATGATGACATGCCAACAATGTGATGAGATGGCAGTGGGCCCAACATAGAAGATCCAATTTTAGAAAACAGAGATCTCTTGCCCAGCGATGTAGGAGACTATTATAGAAACATCAGAATGAACCATCACCAACCAGTCCCTAGGAGCCCACAAGAAGTGTGGGAAAACCGATGAACAGCAAGAACTACCAAGCTTGATACGTAGCGAGGACATGGAAAGACGAATAGCCCCAAAATCTCATGAGTGTCGAGATACATTCCCCCCACCAGAAAAAGAAGCATCCATAAAAGGTAATATTCTCGACAAGGAAGAGGAAAAGGAACACCATCCGTAGTATTGTTCCAATCCAAACACCAGTTGAAATCGGTCTGTAAGGGAGAGGGAAGGGTAAAATGGATATCTAAGGAATTACAAACAAGGTTCCATTAGTCTATCAAAACCCACTGACAATGATGCATGATAGCACAACCAAGAGAAATGAAGGCCATGAGAGAAGTCATGTCCTCAAAAGTGAGATAACCTCTTGCACAGTAAGAGAAGTAGAGGATGAAATGCTGCATACGAGACATTTCATAGCTCACAATCAAAGTGAAGCACGTCGGGCCCAACAAAGGATGGAGTTTAAAAATACCCTGAGATGAATCCAAGATTGTGTGGGTGTGAGGAAAAATTGCTCCACTGTAGAAAGTAAAAACTTATGGAAAAGTGAATCAAACCTCGAACAAAAACACGTCTATTCAATAATACTGCCAATTGAAAAGTGATTAACATTAGAAAGAGTGATAATCACAATAGGGGGTAGTGTTGCACTCCTATTGGTGGAGGGTTGCTGCATAATGATTTGCATGTGAGTATGCAGAAATAAGTGGAAGTATCAAGACCATCAGCTAGCAAAAATTTGCAAAAATTAAAAAATGTAGTGAATCATTTCAGGAAATATTTATTTCTGTTACAAAAAAACTAAAAGAGAGCAAAACTTTAATAACTTACATGAGGGCGGGGTATAGCCTTCATTGGTTTCTTTGAACCCATTTTCTTCATGGCATTATAATATTTTTTCTGATCGTCTGTCATAAACATTTCCAATGATCCTCCTGCGTACAATATGAAAAACATCATAGTAAGATACCAGCAAAAATAAACACATATGTATATATATATATATACACTATTTTTGAATTAAATAATAACTTTTTGATTACGTTTCTAAATTATCATCCTGTACATAAACTTTTCACAAACAAATAAGTAAGTTAATTAATGCTTATAGTATTTTGGCACTTGTGTATAAAGTTAAAATCATAAATAATATTCAACTGGTACACAGTTAAAAACATTTTATTTAGGCCTATCTATTGCCTTCAAAAAGTTGGCAACTCTACACGTTTCGACGTTACACTCCTGAGGATGACGTTGTATGTGAACATGTCTTTTTTTAATAAATAAAATGAAATTCTTTTACTTATCATAACTTAAAAACAATATTTTTAGCAACAGTTTTTCATAATGCTTTTATGATTTATAATAACATATAAAATATTGTTTAGACTTTAGAATTTTTATATTGTTTGTAACATAATACAGTAGCTAAATTATATCATGAAGGTAGGAGAGTATTTCACAAAATTTTACTTTCCATTTAATGCTAATACATGTAACCTTTAAACATAAGAAAACTTCCCTTAGTAGGGTAAGAAACTTATCTTTTTCTTTTGTTCATTGAAGTTGTCAATGATGACTCCAATAAAGAGATTTAGGGTAAAAAAAGAACCAAAAATAATGAAGAACACAAAGTAAAGATACATGTAGATGTTGACTTCGTCTTCAGGTTGTTCTCCTTTAATCTAATATGAAAATTCCAATCTATATTATACATAAAATCTCACAAATCATTTTTTTAATATGTTACAGATTTCATTATTTCATCAGTTTAAAACTAAATGTATGTTTTACAAATATTGAATTGGTTAGAATGAACATTACATTTAAAGTAATATATCATCATAATTATCTGAAACAAGCATGCATTCTTAGACATTAATCTTATTACCTGTAGAAACTTTTATTTACAAAACACATAAAAGCTCTATAAGTTATATTTTCTAAATTTAGTGTAGTGATGCATATTATAAGTGTTTATATGAGCACTGTTTAGCACTCACAGTTGCATTTCCAAAGTTAAATTATATATATATTAAAATATACTAGCTTTAAGTATACAGCCTTTAGGTTATGTAGTAAACACATATATTGCGTTATATTAACAGTGTATTTGAATTATTAAATCTTAAGAATATGGTTTAAAATCATCATAATTTTATTGCAAGTTTTTAATAATTCCAGTCACTTTTCTCTCATTCAAAATACTTATTAGCTTACTTTTTCAATAAGAAAGATATAATTTTAAAAATACTTACACTTTTAGAGTCAATTGCACTATTCATTATGCCTATCCATCCTTTGAAAGTGGCCTGAG